AGACGTGTAAATATATTATGCGTTCAAGAGAATAAATAGAAGGGTCAGAAGGCGAAGGAGGCGTGTAAATATATTATGCGTTCAAGCTTTGGTACACAGGGACAGTCGCGAATAGAAATAGAGTAGGAGTTTTGATTGATAAGAGCCTCAAAAATAGTGTAATGAGAGTGAGAAGACAAGGAGATAGGATTATCTTAGTCAAGCTTGTCATTGGTAATATGGTCTTGAACGTAATTAGTGCGTATGCCCCCCAAGTAGGTCACGACGAGAGTGCTAAGAGACAGTTCTGGGAAGACTTAGATGGCCTAATTAGAGCTGTACCAAGTAGTGAGAAGCTTTTTATAGGAGGAGATCTTAATAGGCATGTAGGTACTACAAGCGTAGGTTTTGAGGCAGTTCATGGAGGTTTTTGGTATGGTAGTATGAATCAGGAGGGGGAGGAAGTTCTAGACTTCGCAGTAGCTTTTGACCTGATGATAGCTAACACTTTCTTTAGAAAGAGAGAATCTCTTCTAGTGACCTTCAGTAGCGGACAACACTCTAGCCAGATTGACTTTGTCCTCGCAAGAAGAAAGGACAAACGAGCATGTTTGGGTTGCAAGGTGATACCAGGGGACTGTGTTGTTTCTCAACATAAGATTTTGGTGGTGGACTTTCATTTTTAGGTGCATGCCCATAGGGATAAACAAGATAAGATTGAAAGAACAAAGTGGTGGAAATTGAAAGGGGAGACGTCAGAAGTATTCAGGGAAAGGGTTATCAAAGAGGGCTCTTGGAAGGAAGAAAATGACATAAATAACATGTGGGAGAAGATGGCAACCAACATTCGGAAGGTGGCCTCAGAGGTGTGTGGAGTAATCAAAGGAAGTGGAGGCGAGGCTAAAGATACTTGGTGGTGGAACGAGGAAGTCCAAAGGGCTATTAAGGAGAAGAAAAAATGCTATAGACGCTTGCACCATGACAGGAGTGTGGATAACATAGAGAAGTACAAGGTGGCAAAGAAGACTGCAAAGCGAGCTGTAAGTGTGGCAAAGGGTAGAGCGTACGAGGATCTTTACCAACATTTGAGTACGAAGAAAGGAGAGAAGGACATTTATAGGATGGCTATGGTTCGTGAGAGAAAGACAAGGGACTTCAACTAAGTTAAGTGCATTAAAGATGAAAGGGAGCATCTCTTGGTGAAAAAGGATGAGATCCGACATCGATGGCAAGAGTATTTTGACAAATTATTCAATGGTGAGAATACAGACACAACCTTTCAGTTGGATAACTCTTTTGATGACACCAATAGGCGCTTTGTGCGGAGAATCCAAGAATCTGATGTCAGAGAGGCGTTGAAAAGGATGAAAGGAGGTAAGGCGATGGGACCGGATGGTATCCCAATCGAGGTGTGGAGATGTCTTGGGGGCATAGCTATAGTATGACTAACCAAGCTGTTTAACCATATTTTTCGATCGAACAAGATGCCTGACGAGTGGAGGAGAAATATATTGGTACCGATCTACAAGAATAAAGGGGATATTCAAAGTTGTACTAATTATCGAGGAATTAAATTGATGAGCCATACTATGAAGCTATGGGAGAGAGTTATCGAGCATCGCTTGAGAGCAATAACATGGGTCTCTATGAACCAATTTGGTTTCATGCCCGGAAGGTCAATCATGGAAGCCATTTTCTTAATAAGACAAGTTATGGAGCGGTATAGGGAGAAGAAGAAGGACCTACACATGGTTTTTATTGACTTGGAGAAGGCTTATGTTAAAATACCAAGGCATGTTATGTGGTGGGCTTTGGACAAATATAAAGTCCCAACGAAGTACGTCGGGCTTATTAAGGACATGTACAACAATGTTGTGACTAGTGTTCGAACAAGTGATGGAGACACGACTGACTTTCTGATTAGGATAGGACTACACCAAGGGTCAGCTTTGAGCCCTTATCTATTTGCCTTAGTGATGGATAAGATCACAAGGGACATACAAGGGGACATCCCTTTGTGTATGCTTTTCACGGACGATGTAGTGCTAGTTGATAAAAGTCGGACAGGAGTGAATCAGAAACTGGAGTTATGGCGGGAGACTTTGGAGTCCAAAGGTTTTAGACTCAGTAGAACTAAAACTGAGTATATGAGATATGACTTCGACACTACTACTCAGAAGGAGGAAGATATTAGTTTGGAAGGTCAAGTAGTGCCTATGAAGGATACCTTTCGATATTTAGGATCAATGCTACAGAGAGACGGGGATATTGATGAAGATGTTAGCCATAGAATCAAAGTAGGGTTGATGAAGTGGCGCCAAGCATCTGGTGTCCTATGTGATAAAAGGGTACCACAGAAGCTAAAAGGCAAGTTTTATAGGATGACGATTAGACCTGCTATGTTGTATGGTGCAGAATGTTGGCCTACGAAAAGACGACATGTTCAACAGATAAGTGTCGCGGAAATACGTATGTTGCGTTGGATTTGCGGTCATACAAGAAGGGATCGAGTTTGGAATGATGATATACGTGATAGATTAGGGGTAGCACCAATTGAAGAAAAGCTTGTCCAACACCGGTTGAGATGGTTTGGACATGTCCAACGGAGACCTCTAGAGGCACCGGTGCATAATGGAATCCTAAGCCAGGATATTAACGTGAAGAGAGATAGAGGAAGACCGAAGTTGACTTGGGTAAAGACAATAAAAGGAGACTTGAAAGGATGGAATATACCCAAAGACTTAGCCTTAGATAGGAGTGCTTGAAAAACAGCTATTCACGTGCTTGAATCTTGATTGCTTCTGATGGGTTTCAATTCTAGCCTACCCCAACTTGTTTGGGACTCAAATGCTTTGTTGTTGTTGTTGATGATGATTATTGTTGGCTATACAAAAGAGAAACTTATGTGTTGTATTTCTATCGTAGGAGAGCAAGTTGAAGAACGTGTTATAAGATGTAAAGTAGAATCATAGAGTGGTGATCTATAGAATTAATTTTTATCTTCCACCCTATGAATTTGAGATAGGCTTATATGTGAACTTTAGAAAGTGGTGGAATATCAAATTCGAAGCTAAATAGCCTAATTTATTAAATATATTTCAATTCCTCCAAATGAAATGATCTAAACGGCCTCTTAGAGAAAATTATTGAAAAATGAATTCGAATACATCCGTTTAATATCCATATTAAAAATAGATATTGAATACGGATATTCATATTACAAGTTTTAGTAGATACATACGAACCATTTTCAATCCCCAATCTTTGGAGATCTATTTTCATACATTAGTATAATCCTCGTACTAACGCCACGGCTTTTATCTTAGAGATGCACATGAAACAACCTAACAATGAACTTTTTCCATAGTTCAACTTGTCCACAATAGTATATTGCCCGTGATAATGCTATGGTGACATCTACAAAGAATAAATCATAAAACTAAAATAAATCATAAAACAAAAAATAAATCAACTAATGAAAGAAACATGAATTCATAGTCTCGCAGAGATTAGTCATTTCACACACAGAAAAAATAGACAAGCCCACACAGCCTCGCAGAGATTAGTCATTTCACACACAGAAAAAATAGACAAGCCCACACAGCACTACTAAGACGGGTCTTCAAGTTCATAAACCATCCGTCTATATATTATTCTATAAACAATGGTTTATGGCCGGGATGGGGCTTTCTTCGCGGCGCGCTACCGCTCCACTCTGTCAGGCGTCCTTCAAATAAAAACCCTACCACCAGACACATTGGCCCCTGCAAAAATATAAACAGGCAAAAGGTTGTGAGAGACAAACTTGACAACCTGTTCCACAAATATTCTTATTCACAGCAAGAACGCAAACAGAGAACACAAGCACATCGAAATTAGTTAAAGCAGGGTGATTGTTAGAAACATGTTGAATATATAAAATGGATCTCTACTATAATAGAACTACACATTCTCTATGAAAGGGTTGTTAAGTTAATAGAGGCCGCACACAATCACATGCAGCCATACCAGAATGCCAGCAATGAATAAAATTATCAAGTTACTCCAGAGATCTAGTTTATATTGTTTTGCGATTATGCAAGCAACAGTTACATATCTAACTGAGATTACCCAACAAAGCTTAAGCTTAGTAGGAACATTGGTAATTTGCGATGCCTAAATTCTACAATACTACTTTCCATATATCTCATAAAAAGAAATCAGGTTCCATTTTCTGAAAGCTGACATTAAGATGCATGCAATGTCGTCTAGACCAAAAAATTTGTCATTGTGGCTTGTATGCATTTTTAAGCATTCTAATTATTTTGGGAAACAAAATCGGAGGATGGTAATCTTGCTGCACATCAATTTAAAGCCTTTCGGTACGAATAAGTAAAAATATACCAAATTGAATTGTTACCCTAAAAGTATTCATAGCCACCGGCTAACAATTTTTTTTAAATCATTAATTGTAGCAGAATCTAATTCCAGTTTTAGAAAAAAAATCATAAACATTATCTTTTTTTATCGGCAAAAGTTGCCTTCTTCGTGCAGCTCATAATAACAAAAAAATGTCAGCGATCACGAGTAAAACAGAGGTCATAACTTTAGTCAGATATAGTCACCTAGCCGTTAATCCTAAATCACACATTACATATTTCTTTGAACCTACTACATGATAATCACCTTACAGGGAATGCTTGTAGTATGCATTCTAGTGCAGGTGATATATAGCATGCTGTAAAATCATCATAAACCTGAATTAAGCATCTAAAATCTATCGGACAACAATCAGTAATAGTATAGAGATTATTTGATTCAATTTTCAGCACTGTTTGCCTCCGGTAAGGACCAAACTCAAATACAATTTTACACAGCACATAAGAATATTGGTCAGTACCTCACTCCGAAGCTCCTCGACTTTGTGGCCATTAGCTACCTCCACATCCAGCTTTGCAGTCGCTTCCTAACAGGCCTCCATATCCAGCTTTTGTTTAATAAGGGGATGCACTCTGCTACTATCTAGAAACAAGAGAGGCATCTCACCAAAGCAGAACACCGTCCCGGATGAGATCGAACAGCTGGTTTCCAGATGGGTCGATGGGCAAGTACTTCTTCAGGAATGGGTCTTCACGGAGGTAAGTATTGATGTGCGCCACATACGACGATTTCTCTGCCTGATTGAGATTGTGCAGCAGCGTAGTGGTGCTGGACTTGAGGAACGACGACTTGCCACCCCCGCCACCGCCGGCACCACCTCCCTTGTCACTCACCCGCGCCTGCAGATTCAGATACTCCTGCAACAACACCGCACCAGATTCCCTAGTCCCGTCAGAACAAATTGAGAATAGCAATCCATTCCTGCCCACATTATAAATGAATAACTCAGAGAAACGCCGAGATGTATGTACCCGGAGGAAGGATTCGAATTCAATCTCCTGATCGCTGTCGGGGTACGACTCCGACAGGAAGGCCGCGATCTCCTCCTCAGAGACCACCTCATTGAGCCCCCTCAGCTTCTTCATCAGCCCCGGCAGATTCTTAGTGGTGACATGGCCGGAATCTCTCTTCAGAGACACGAACTGCAACACCCGCAAAATAAAATTACCAAGTGAACAAAACCGGCGAACCAAACGCAAAACAACTGTTGTTTCAGGTGCAGAGGAGGTGGGGGAACGAAGAAGCAGCCCGCGGATTCGGACGTCACCTTGTCCTTGAGCGATCGGAGCTCGACCTGCGTGAACTGCCCCTGCAGCGAGGGGTCGGACACGACGACCCCGACGAATCCGGACATCTCCGCCGGCCACGGGCCGATTCCACCCGCGCCCAGATCAGAGTGGTCACGCGGCCGATCAGCACGTCATCCTCGGTCAGCAGCGCGGGGAGCAGGGTCGGGAACACGGCGGCCCCCTCCTCGGTAGCCGCAGCGGCCTCCGTGCCTAGGAATCGCGGCGGGTTCTGTTTTTCTGGGAAAATGCATGGGTGGAAGTATGAATCGAACTCGGGCGTGCGGGATCTAGAATAATTTTGATTCATCCATTATACCAGAGATAATAGTTTAACCACCCGTAGAAATGTGTACGATGTAAGCAGGCAATAGCTGAGAGAGGGGTACCGGCCCGGTTTGAATTAAAAAAACGTACCCGTGTGTGTATATTATTTCTCACATGACAAAAAACTACTAGTAGTGTAATGTGTAGTGGCTTTTATATCGTAAACTACTATTTTTTCTATTGCACAACTATTTAAAGGATTTGTCAAGCCGGCTGGAAAGCCTCGCTATACAGGTCAATTGCATCTATTTTTCGTTTCTACAAACCAATTTATAGACGGACCCCACCAAACAGCCATACGTGTGCGTTGTCGCAAGTCACAAATCACATAATATTTTGCACACTTTTGTGGCCATAGGGGTCGAACCCACTCCTCTAACCACTTTACCTCAAAGACAGTGGAAAGCCTCGCTATACCGTCAAAAGCAAAGTTGTAGATATTGTCGAGACCAACAACTTTGATTTTGACGGTTTCTCCATCCGAGATCGTTTGAATATTTTTAAATGTGACAAACTCAAACATAAATTTCTTTGAATAGATTATTTCAAATGAAAAAAATTGTCAACTACAAATTTTTATAACTATTCGAGATCTACAACTTTGGTATTGATCATTTCACCGTCCGAGGTCATTTGAAAAATTCAAATTTGAATATATAAGGACTTCAAACTAAATTTTGGGACTATATATTATTTTAAATGAGAAAGTTCTCCACTGTGATTTTTTTAAATGTTTTCAAGATCTATGGCTTAGATTTTGGTCATTTCTCTATCTGAGGTCATTCGTGAAACTCGAAAATTTTGAAATTCAAAATGTGAGATATTCAAACGAAATTTGATGGATCCAAATTATTTCAAATAAAAACGTTGTCAACTACAAAGTTGTAAATCTCTTCAAGATATATAAAACTTTGATTTATAGTTTGTTTTATTCGACTTCATTTTAAAAAAAATTAAAGTTATAGATTTTACTATGTTGCACATATTTTTAGAGATGGCTAGAGATCCAACCGCCTCTACAAATAAATTTCTAGAGGCCGCTAGATCTAGAACCACCTCTAGAAATGCATTTGTAGAGGCGGCTGTATATAAAGTCACCTCAAAAATAAACAAGGGAAAGACAAGCCTAAGTAACGTTGAAAAGATAAAATCGTGAGGCAACCCAAAAGTGCTCACAAAGAAAATGTTAATGCGATGGTTACGAGAGGTGATAAGTCCACTCATGATCCACTGTATCCTAACCTAATGGGAATGAAGGATACAACAAGCAACAAGCAACGATAAGGAGGAGAAGATGAAGCACCCACCACTTCAAAGAACAAGGGAAAGACAACTGTTGGTATTTATTAACACTTATTTAATAGCCACCTATTAATTACTTACATCTCCTAACATTACTTTACTAGGTTGTTATCTCTAGTGTGGTGCCAGAGATGCTTTTTGGTGCTGCCTAGCATCACTACTAGAATGATACTAAGTAGTTCTTTATTATCTTATGTGACTAGAAAGAATATATAGATATGAATGAAAAAGGATCTGCAAGCGCACATATAATATACCATTGTAGCACTTCACCTAAGAGTATTTTAGGTATCGTTATTTATAATTTTACCACAGGGAAGATCTAGCATGGACAAGTATTGATAACGTATATTATTGATGGAGAAGTAAACTATAACCAATATTCTACTCATAACGAGAGTAAGTCATAGGATAAGATATATATATATATATATATATATATATATATATATATATATATATATATATATATATATATATATATATATATATATGATAAGTATTGATCAATGATAATGATAAATCACTCAGAGTACTCCTTTCTATGGCATTAACATGGTCAGATAGAATATTAGAGAAATAATTCCTATGTCATCCTTAATTATAAGTCAAAGCATATATTGATTAGTGCAATTATACCTAATAGTCATTGCTGAGATCATCTTCATATCTATATATAAGAGATATTACTAGAAAAGATTAAGAACAGAGCTTGTCCCCCTTCGTAATAAGATCCTATGTGCTAGCTACATCGGGGAGTGGACTACAAATGACTCAACGGGAGTGTCACGTCCGCGATCTACCATATGACCCAGAATATAGGGTGTATTCATAGGTAAACAATGTATAAGCACCATGCTTACACAATGTCGACCACCCACCCATGGTACATTAGAATGAGCGCTATACGAACTTATGCATGAACATGATAATCCAACTATACTAAGCATATAATCAAAGTAGATAATGAACATTATAATGAAGAACATAAATAAGATGAATACTGATATTGTCATAACAATTATAGCAAGCATATAAAAATAATGGAGATACAAAAGAAAAGGGGTACAAAGATTATACCGAACCACGCTCTTGACACGATCGGGAATCCAAGCGAAGTCTGCATGCCTCCCTCTAGACCTAGCCTAACTAGCTATGCCCTAGAATATGATAGAGCTCTAAGGATGATTAGGGTTTCTATCTTCTCAAATGACTTGATGACTAGGGTTATGCCTGGGGGAGGGGTAGGGGCTAGATTATATAGCCCTGAGGATCCAACGTGAGCCCTTGATCAAACAGACTTAAGCAACGGCCTAGATGCATCATCAAAGATGGTGGGAGACCGACATACGAAGCTGGCTGACAGGTAGGCCCATGGGGGGCCGGGTGGCCCCACATGTCATCCCCTTGGTCTCTGCTTCAGTGCCGTGGCTTCTGGAGTGTTCTAGAGTCTTCCCACGTAGGTACCGTGGTGGAACTCCGTATTTTTCTTTGACGATTAGGTTCTCCTTGGCGGTTTTCTGATTAACCCCTGCTGGAAACATAGATTCATCAAAACTCGTGGAATTTATTAGTTTAAACCCCTAGACCTTTGTTGGTGATCTCAATTGTGTCCTTATACATATTTTATTGACGGTTTATAATAGTTGTTAACTACCGCCAACAACAACCCTCCATGAATTTTACGATATGGGGATGCTGTCATTTCCCACTCACAGCCGTAAGCCATCTGTGGACGAACAATTCACAAAGTTCGTCTACGTAATCCTAAAGCTTTTTTTGTCGAATACGCAAGAGAATTGTGTACCATTGTATTAAGAAGGAATAGAGTTTGAGTTACAAAATCGGCCTGAGGCTGAGGCACAGTTGTTGATTACATTTTTCCTGAACTCCTAGGATACCCCGAGCAGCAGCTATACCCCGAACGCTAAACTAGCGCCAGTGCGCCCCTGCCAAGATCCAGCAATCTGTCTCGGCTTTTATCAGTGCCAACAACTCGTTCACCGGTGTGGAGGCCTCCCTGAAACATCTGGCGTTGCGTTTCTTCCATAATTTCCAAGAAACCAGCGAGAACAAAGAGTCGAATCCACGTCACTGCTGGCCATGCCATGCCGATCTCAGGCACCTCCACCAGCTGATGGTAGTGTTCGTCGCCGGCGGTAGCTGGGTGCCCAGGGTCCGACAGATATGAAACCAAACCTCTCTTGAGTATAGGCAGGAAGAGATGATGTGGTCAATTTTTTCTTGAGCTCCATGTACACGTTCCGTTGCTTGACTCAAGGCAGGTGCCAGCATACACAAGATACCTCAAGGACATCCTAAACAACAAAAGGCCATTGCGGCAATGCCTAACAAGGATATTGTGAGCATATATGTCAAGACTTGAACTAAGGTAAACAGATTTTACCACAAGGAATCGAACACATTGGCAATTCCAAGGTGGGCAGTTTCCACTACGAGCACACTTCGCCGATGAACATGATACAATCTCAAGTTTTAATTGACCCTGCAGTGTCGCGTTACACGCAGCCTTGCCACAAACATTTTAGCTAGGGCCTTGTTTACATACCCTCAAAATTTCAAGTTTTTTCACTCTCTTTCCATCACATCAATTTTTAGACGTTTACATGGAGCATTAAATGTAGGTAAAAAAAATAACTAATTGTACAGTTTAGTTGGAAATCACGAGATGAATCTTTTGAGTTTAGTTGGTCCACAATTAAACAATATTTACCAAATAAGACGAAAGTGCTACTATTCGTCGAGTTGAAATTTTTTACCATCTAAACATGTTTTACCATCTAAACATGGCCTAGGTTACAGGCGAGGAGTCCAGGGGCAAACGAAAACAGAGGATACATAAAGAACCTAATCTAGCTTCGCCCACGCAGTCACTAGACAGCCGGTCAGCAGCGAACAGTCACAACACCAACGTCATGTCGTGCCGTCATCAATCGATCAGAAGATGCACCAAAAAGCTGAGACATTTTGTACAGGATGGAAGGGGGAGAACCAAAAAGCCCGAGCCCTGATTAGCCTTGTTGTCCGTGTGCCCCCGTGAGGCCGTGCGCACGATGAGCAGAGCAATAATGCTGGGCAATGTCCGTTCATTACGACGGGCTCAAGCAGCAGGAGCAGCCCAGAAGCCGCAGGATCCTCAGCCAGCCTTCTTTCTGCAATGAGTCATGACAGTTCGTGCATGTATCAGGCTATCAGCTATCACTGCGGTCATGCATGTTAAATCGTCATGTTAAGACCGTAATAAGAGTAATAAGAAAACTAAGTGCTCATCTGTGACTGCAAATCCGTGGCGAGAAAGTTTGAGTTTGCAATCTTCTTGGAGCCAGTTTAGTTCCCCAGAATTTTACCAAATTTTTCAAGATTCTCCATCACATCGAATCTTTGACGCATGCATGAAGCATTAAATATAATTAAAAAATAAAACTAATTACACAGTTTAGACGAAATCTACGAGACCAATCTTTTAAGCCTAATTAGACTATGATTGGACACTAATTATCAAATAACAACGAAAACCGCTACAGTGTATTTTGCCAAATTTTTTGACATCTAAACAAGGTCTTAGTTTTTTTTTTTGCATCGATTACCTATGTATGTATGTTTTACATGGGGCTTTAGGTGTTCTATTAATGGATATTTGCAATCGTGGTTTCTGAATGTTTTCGAACCTACACCTACCATGCATCTTAGCGATGCAAAATGGACTGACTGTGACTGCACATAAATGAATGAATCATAGGCATGTAATGCGTACCCTCGGTGCTGGCTTCCCGTAGAGCATCATGTCCGGTGGAACCCCGTACAGGTCGTCGTCGACGGGTTTGGCCACCGTGAAGCAGGACCTCCTCGCCGCCGCCGCCGCGTAGGCTCCGGAGTTGGCCACCTTGCTCCGCCTCGTCTGCATGTGCCCCTGTGGCGCCTCCGCCGCCGTAGCCAGCTTGGCCGCATCGAAACCGTCGTCACCGCCGCGCCGTCGTCTCCCCTGCACACGACGAGCATTACCCATTCGATCGATAAGCAGCAAGCCAACAGACCCAGCCCAACACATCGTTAAAAATTTAATAAAATGAGAACCGTTGATAAAAAGAAAGTAGTTGCTGTGGGGTTTGGATTAAAACGCGTACCGTCTTGGGCGCTGCTTTCTGCAGCGTGGCGAGGTCGAAGAACGGGGTCATGACCGCCGGCCATGTTCCGTTGCCGATGCCATTGCCGTTGCCGTCGTCGTCGCCATGGTGGTTCCACTCCCCGAACGCCGGGACGCGCATGCGCCTCGCGTTCGGCACTGACGATCTCTGAAGCATCATGAAACAAAAGCAACCGTCAGTTGGTACTTGCAGGCATGCCTACGTGCAGTGCCACTGCAATACGCTGATGACTGACCTTCATTAGCAAGAGAGGGAGAGAGATGAGAATTGGCAAGAGGAAAATTCTGTTCACAGTGGAAAGAGAAAGGAGTATATATATATATATATATTATTATGTGGAGCTAGAGCAGAGCAGGGGCAGCAGCGGTGTGCTTCGTAAGGAAGAGGAGGACGCCAGTGGGGGCCCACCTGGACATGTACACCCGGTGTGCTTCGTAAGGAAGAGGACGACGCCAGTGGGGGCCCACCTGGAAGAGGACGACGCCAGTGGGGGCCCACCTGGAAGAGGACGACGCCAGTGGGGGCCCACCTGGAAGAGGACGACGCCAGTGGGGGCCCACCTGGACATGTACACCCAGTAAGTGCGTGCGTGTGGGGCCAATGGGATATTGGAGATTGTGGCGGTGTTTTATTGGGCAACAGTGAAGATTCTCTACTTTATCATTTTGTTTGTATTTGTAAATTATTGTCGACTAATTAGGTTTAAAAGATTCGTCTCGCAAAGTTAAAGTAAACTGTGCAATTAGTTTTTGATTTCGTCTATATTTAGTACTCTATGCATGTACCGCAAGTTTGATGTGACGAAGAATCTTCTTTTTGCATAGTGCACTTTTCAGGAGTTTAGAGGAACTAAGGCCCTGTTTAGTTCCCTCCCAAAACGCCAAATTTTTCAAGATTCCCCGTCACATCGAATCTTTAGACGCATGCATGAAGCATTAAATATAAATAAAAAATAAAACTAATTACACAGTTTAGACGAAATCCACGAGACGAATCTTTTAAGCCTAATTAGATTATGATTGGGCACTAATTGTCAAATAACAACGAAAACGCTACAGTGCTCATTTTGCCAAATTTTTCGGATCTAAACCGGCCCTATACAAGAGCTGTGTACTCCTACCTAGTCCTTGTTTTGGTACGTTCCAATTTCGAGATAGCTATGGCTCTTTGTACACTGTAAGGAGCCGAAAGGAGTTTTACTATGTCCTTGTTACCAGAATCCAAATTTTGGCACTATGTAAAAAGAAGATTCCCCATTACATTAAACTTGCGGTACATGCATGGAGTACTAAATATTGACGAAATCAAAAACTAATTGCACAGTTTGGTTGTACTTTACGAGACGAACGTTTTGAGCCTAATTAGTCAACGATTGGACAATTATTACCAAATACAAACGAAATGCTATATTACGCTATAGTGCCGAAATAGTGCCGGACAATTCCGGCGGCGCCGATTCTGCAAGGAACTAAACGCGGCCTATCTTGTAATTTTTTTAGATGAAAGGAAAAACAGCTTCTTACTACGTGAAGATATCGGAATCGAAGCTGGCCGGAGCACCGCAAAACAGCTTATACTAGCACTTGGCATTTGGTGCTAACACAAGGAATTTCAACTTGTGCACCCTGTTCGTTTATGCTGAAACTTGGTTTATGCTAAAATGTTGTCAGCGAAAAATACTATTTTGACTGAAAAGTAGCTCAAGCGAACAGGGTAGTTTGGCGCAAGAATTCCCGTGTGTATAGTTAGCAGTACAAGAGAAAAAAGTACTTGAAAAAAAAAGACTTTCTGAAACCCGTCGTCTACTCTTGCGTGGTACTCCTACTGTAGTTTACCTTGTTAGACCTGTGCTGGTCCGCATGGCGGAGGCGAAATCGAAGCACGGGGTGACGGGCGGCCAGTCGTGGACGCCGGCACCGTCGTCGTCGCGCGGGTAGTTCCAGTCGGCGAGCGCAGTCGAGATGGCCGGCCGGCTAGCTTCCTTGCGGCGTACGCCCAATTCTTCCGTGGCTTCCTTGCCAAGCACACACCAGCCGCTATCTAGTAGGGTGGCAAAGAACAGCGTTGCGAGTGTGGGGATCGCCTGGTATTTATGTAGTCGTCGTATAGAGGGGCGTGTTGTCGTGTTGACTTGGCCACGACGGCAACGGTGTGGTGTGGTCCACTGATGACTCTGCGCCACCGCCAGAGAAAACTTGGGGAGGGGGCAATGAAGGGGCTAGGCCGCTAGGGAAAGGCGGTGCGTCAGTTCGTGGCGGGCGCTCCCGGGTAGAAACCTTAGTCGAGTCACGTCAAATGCAGCAAGATTAGACGTGAGTTAATTATAAAATTAATTACATAAGTCGTGATTAATTCACGAGATAAATTTATTAAGCCTAATTAATCTATACTCCCGTAGGACTAAAAGATGAAGTCGTTTTGGATAAAGTTCGGGTCAAACATTGAGAATATAAATCATGAATAACTTTTAAGTTGTTGAGTTTAGAAATGTAAAAACCATACGTATAGATTTGTCTTGAAAAATACTTTCACAAAAATTTACATATATCACTTTTTGATAAATATCTTTATAAAAATAAGTAGTCAAAGTTATGCTTTGGAGACCGTGTCGCTGTCCAAAACGACTTTATTTTTTAGTATGGAGGGAGTATTTAACATATGTTTACTGTAGCATCACGTTCGTTAATCATGGACTAAGTAGGCATAACTAGTCTATCAACCCGTGCTCTCGCATGAGCTAGAATTATAAAAGATATACTATTTAATACATTTGACTAATAAAAAAGATACTTATATTTTCTACAATAGACATAATAGATACTTCGTAGACTATATCTAGTTATCATAAACTTATTATTTTTTCAAGGGACTGACTTATATATTTTCCATCCATATTCATATTTTTAATTTGCACGACACCTATGTATATTTAATATGCAGTTAGCTTGAAACCTCACCATTAACTATGGTTGCCCTTGTTGCATCACATATTTTATTAAGTCGTGAATCTATTCTTTTTATTTTTGAAATTTTATTTTTTATTGACTACTACAAAAAAATTATACTCAAGTGGAAACACTTGTGCTATTGTATCTTTTACTAAACTCTCATTTGCACTGTTTTAAAATAAGGATTTTAGGTCGTAGAGTACATTCTTAAATACTACAATAGCATACACAATGATTTGAAACTTGCATCATGAACTTAAAATGAGATTTCGGATGGGGGGTAACAGTGCTAACCTCAACAGAATTTTAAATCTTAAGCATTATAATGATCGAAATTTTACTCTAAAGAAATGATAAAGGTCCGGAAAAATATAGCCACCAGTAGTCTCGTAAAATTCTAAAGATGATTGGATTTTCCTATCAAGGAATTATATGTGCAGTTATGATTATATTATCAATATAAACGTGTCAAACATTTAGTTAAAATATATAAATATATCTAAAGTAACAACATATATAAATTATGTCATGGCTACTAAGATTCATTGAAGCGGACATCAAAACATTAATGGTGAACCAGAGAACCATGCTTTTTTATGAAAAGCAATGCAATAGGGTGGATTTTAAACAAGCATGCTATGGTTTTGAAAAGGGAAGGATAGCTTGGGGTTGGATCTCACATACCTTGATCGATTTCACCATTACCCACAACTTGAGATGGAGTTTTGAGTGATGCACCATGTGGGGGGTATGACCCCGGATATCCACGACAGACCACATGGGTTGCGCCCCCAGGGGTGGCCCAGCCCACAAGAGGAAGCCTTGTGGGACACGGCGCTGCTCGGCGCATCCCGCAACACACTGGAAAGATATCCTGAAGATACTATGAGATCTGTTAGGATACGTATAATCCCATGATTCCTGTAATCTGTTATTACATTTTGGTTATCTCCTAGATCTAACCGACTTATAACCCTGCCCTCGGACTATATAAGGCGGACAAGGACCCCCTCCAAACACACGCAATATCATACGATAGTTAATACAATCGAACAGACCACAGGAGTAGGGTATTACGTTGTGCTGATGGCCCGAACCTGTCTAACTCGTGTGTCTCTGTTGCCTTCTTGTTCTCAATTACACGCATCTCTGTCGATCAATCTACCTTCGTGGGATACCCCTCGGAGGACTGCCGATGATATTCTGTCGATAGTTGGCGCGCCAGGTAGGGGTGTGCGTGTTGTTTCCTTGTCGAACAAGATGGTATGTTTTGCATGCTCTTCGTCCCTCCCACAGCCCGACTAGATCTTCATGGTCGGATCGATCTCGTGGATCATTAACGCTGACGGAGTCAGAGAGCTCATCGAGCTGGTACAGATCAATACTGCGCCGACCACCCCAACACCTGCGACTGTAGATCCGATCTCGGAACCACCTCCAAGGTCGCTTTCATCGACAAATCGCCGCCCGCTCCCCCGCTACCCAAGGGGGCAAATCAACAACGATGATCTGATCGCATCCATCTATCAGGTTGGCCAGAAGCTCGCCAATTGCCTCTCCATCGTAGAATCGGCTCTAACCACTCTGGTCCAGCGCCGACCACCCTTCGATTCAGATCTATCGGAGACAGATCGGGAAACTGCAGGGGTTACGGCCCTACCCTTCGGGATCACCAACGTTGCCACCGCCTATTAAGATGTCCTAAGAGGCAAATTCGTTGACCAGGTTAGAGATATCCATCCTCTCGCCGGCCAGATCGCCGACCAGCTCCCACCGGCCATGAACATGCTACACATCAGCCGACACCCCGAAGCATCCCTCCAAACCATCCTGGAGGAGAATCAAAACTCTGAGTCCCAGGGCTCTACGGAGACTGTCGCCGAAACCACCGCCGAACAACCTCCTTTCCCTCCCTTCCGTGGAGGCGCAATCTTCAACGTTAGCGTCGACAACCCCCCGCGGGAAGGGGAAACCGAGGAGGACCACACCGCCCGCGTCAACAGGAACGTCAACCGCACGCAGCATCGAGCAAACGAAGCTGCCCTTGTGCTATCCAAAACTGCGTGCAATGATCAGCTTGACTCTCAAGGAAGGCCCCGCCAACTCCAACACAACCTCGATGATGAATTTGTCCGTGTTGACGGCCATGACGTCTACAAGACTCCAAGCGCCAACCTGGCCGTGGCCACCAACAAGCTCGCCCGGCACTCACAGACACCGGAGGTCGCCAAGGTCGCCGCCATGCTTAAAGCGGTGCACTGCCAGGTAAATGAGATCCTCCAGGATCAGAGACCTTCCTACTCGACGAGCTCGATTCACCGATCAGCTGTGCCAAGATCTAATCGTCGCCCCAGCCAAAGTTGTTTCGCCGACTAGCACTGCGATGATGGACAACCTCTCCAGTGGTGAGCCAGGGGCGACCGTGTCGACCACCCTCTCCAACACGACCAGGAAGTCGACCAGGACGTCCGAGCACACCTTAACAATCTCTGAGATGCGCGACCACGTATGGACGAGCGTCGTTTTTCTCCTCATGAAGAAGTATGCCGCCGTCAAGAGTACGAGCAAGAGTTCGGTAACCCAGACTCAGCCCTCTAGCCGCTCAACGTCAGCAATGCCGACGGTGACGATCCTAAAGGGCCCAAAGCATTCACAAGGGCACTCTGGACACTCTAGTGGCCCCATGGTTTCAAAATCACTGGGGTTGAGCCCTACGAAGGACGGATGAACCCCACACAGTGGCTACAAGCTTAAGCCACTACTGTGTGCATCGCCAGGGGGATACCAGCGTCATGGCGAACTATCTTCCCATCATGCTGATGCGAACTGCGATGAACTGGTTCACAAGCCTCGCCCCAGACTCCATCGGATCCTAGGAAGAGCTGAAGAAGGTCTTCATCGACAACTACATGGCCACGTGTACTCGCCCAGGCACCAAGCACGATCTGAACTGCATTTACCAGAAGTCGTCCGAGCTCCTTCATAGCTACATCAGACACTTTTCGAAGATGAGGAATTCTATTCCCAACATCATGAAAGCAGAGGTCATCACCGCCTTCGTTCGAGGACTCCATCACCTCGACCTCCGCTCCAAGTTCAATCACAAGCCGCCTAAGGGGATTGGCGAGACGATTACAACCGCCGATCAGTACGCCAACGCTGAAGAGGCCGAAGTGCGCTTCAATGAGGATGCGGTCACTCATTGCCCAACTCATCGTAGCGACGATCGACCCGACGACCAGCGCCACAGCGACCGCCGCTACAATGACCGTAGTCACCATCGGGACAGTGGCCGTGGTCGGCTAGAAGTATCCAAATCTGGTCAATATCACCGCCGCTGACCAGACCATATCATCGCCACTGTTGATGAACCTCACGCCAAAAACAATTATGATGAGCAGTACAAGAAGATCCTCGAAGGCCCGTGCCCTCTCCACAAAAATGCCAAGCATAAGATGAAGGACTGCCTCGGCTTGGCTAAGGAGTTCTAGGCTAAAAAGCCAGACGACGACAATAACGACGGAGCCAGAGGCCGTCGACCACCTGGAGGCAACAACAACGCCTTCCAGGAGCACAACAAAGTAGTCGCCACCATCTTTGGGGGCCTCGCTGCCGCCGAGAGTAGAAGAGATCGGAAGCTCACCACCCGCTGGGTGCTCGCCGTCAACGCGGAAGATGCTGTCGCCAACCCCAGCTATCATCCCTGGTCCGAGGTACCCATCACCTTCAACAGGGCCGACCAGTGGGCGGATATCCCATACACAGGGTGTTTCCCCCTCGTCCTTGATGCAACCGTCCAAAAAGTACTTTTTAGAAAAGTGCTCGTCGACGGCGGGAGCACTCTGAACCTCCTCTTCGCCGAAGCCCTAAAGGAGCTAGGGCTTGGGATAGGAGATCTCACACCCTACGACTC